TGAGCGCATCACGCTCCAGATGGCACACCAGTTGACGCAGATCCGCGCTAGCCCTAGAGAAGATATCGATGCGGCTGCGGCTCTGCATGACGCATGGGATCTCCAAGGCTGTCAGGGACCTCCAGGGCTGAGCCAAACTCCTTTGGGCGCTAGCGCTCGAAATTTCCCCTCCATGAGTTGCAAGATTCCCCGCTTACGCGACTTTGTCAGGAGTCCGAGATGGCTGCGAAGACGGACAGCATGAACGGCGCACACGCAGGAACTGCCAGTGGCGCGAGTGTCCACGATGCCGGCGATTCGAGATTCCAGACAGACAACACCATGTCCAGGAAACCACAACCGAAACAGCAACTCTCCAAAGCAATGGAGCACATGCGCTTCGCAGTCACGGTCGATCCTGTTCCGCATACTCCAGCTTGCACGCCGCCACCAGAGGCTCTGACGGCCACATCGCCAGCTGCCCTCGACTCCGCCGAGAACGACGCTTATGGAGTGCCTGCTTCTCTACAACCCGTGCGCGCCCCACCGTCTCGCTCCCACGACCCAGACAACAATCAGAAGCGCAGCGATCCCTTTGCGTTCGGTTCGCGCTACCTGGAGGAAGGCGACAACATCTTCGAGTTCAACGCCTGGGACCACGTAACCGTCGACTCCAACTACCTCGCCTTTTCAGAAGAACAGTATTCCAGACAACGGCAAGAGCCGGTTTCCGACTTTGATCGCAAACGCTACAACGCCCAGCCCGAGAAGTGGTGGAACCAGTTCTACAAAAACAACAAGACCAACTTCTTCAAGAACCGCAAATGGCTGGCACAGGAGTTTCCTATTCTAGAAGAACTGGGCGCCGAGGATGGGCCAGAGGCTACGCTGTTGGAGGTCGGCGCCGGGGCAGGGAACAGCGCCTTTCCCATCCTGCAGAGAAGTCGGAACCAGCGGCTGAAGATACACGCGTGTGACTTCTCCAAAAAGGCAGTCGAGCTCATCCGCAACCACGAACTCTACGACCCGGAGCGCATACAAGCTGACGTCTGGGACGTGGCCGCCGCTCCCGACTCGGAGAACGGTGGGCTCCCCCCAGGTCTGGCTGAAGGCAGCGTAGACGTTGTGCTCATGATCTTCATCTTCAGCGCGCTGAGTCCCAAGCAGTGGGACCAAGCCGTCCGCAACATCTGGCGGGTTCTCAAGCCGGGCGGCCAAGTCCTCTTCCGCGACTACGGCCGCGGCGACCTCGCCCAAGTCCGCTTTAAAAAAGGCCGTTACATGGAGGAAAACTTCTACGTCCGCGGCGACGGTACGCGCGTCTACTTCTTCGAGCAGTCTGAACTCGAGGATATCTGGGGCGGCGCCAGAAAACGCGATACTACCATTGGCAACGTGGCGGACACCACCATATCCCAGACCGAGGCCGAGGGTGTCATCGCGGATAAGATGGAGAGTCTGTCTCTCCACGATCCTGGCATGCAGACGAGAGAGCAGAGCCACGATGACGTCAACGATCTGGACACTCCCAGGCCGGGTTTTGAAATTGCGCACATTGGCGTCGACCGACGGATGCTGGTCAACAGGCAGAGGAGGCTGAAAATGTATAGGTGCTGGATGCAGGCTGTGTTTCGCAAGGCAGGCATGGAGAGCGAGGTGCCAACGAGCACGCTGAGGCAGGACAAAGAAGACGCTGCAGAGGAAGAGGAAGAGGGGCAGAGTGGCGTGGGAAAGGAGGATGCAGTGGAGGGAGGGGGCGTTAAGGTTTGAGGGTCCGAATCGTGAGGGTGGAATGCAAAAGTTGCAGTGGTGGCCTGTAGTGGGGATGAATGATACCATGACATATGAGAGAGAAGACGTTGTGAAAGTAGAGTATACTATGCGTCAAACCACTGTGTAGTTAGAAAGCAGCGCTGGAAAGCACACTTGATTGACCCGTCGTGTTGTCTCCCGCCTCGTGGGCCTCATGGATCATACACAGCAGCAGATGCAAAAGCGTTTGGTCGAAAACGCACTGGATTGTGGTGTACTATGAGACAAAGACCGCTATGCTACGCTAAACTACCAGGCTCGTGATACAAGCTATGATGCGAACCCAACACCCAATGCTGCGCTTTCCAGAACCAGCACCTATAGAGCCTCAATCGAGGGTATCACAAGAACCGGTGCAAAGCCTACCCTCCAGTCTACAATCATGACAAAACTTCCCTGCACACGTCTAGTTCCCCTCAAGAATCCCCTTGAGAATCCCTGCTCCAGGTCCTACGAGTGAATCCGCCAACTCCTTTTCTCCAACAACACTAGCAACCCTGCGATCCTCTACCGCAACCCCGGGGAAGGCTTTGCCCCTGCCTCTCCGGCTCGGCGTGCCAGCGCCAACATCCAGCGACCCTGCTTTGCCCTCCACCGCTGAGACAAGCGAGAGTGTTTCCAGACTGCTCACAATGTCTCTGAACTCTGTGCTCGTCAGAGGATGCAGTATGTTTTCTCGTTTGCATAGCACGGTGTAGGCTTCGAAGAGTTCCTTGATGCTAGGGGATGTAGTGTGGGATCGGGAAGGTGTGGCCAAGATGCTATCGGCGGCAGCGGCGCGCTTCTTCTTCTCAATAGCAGAGAGCGAGCAGAGAACGGCTTTTTGTTGCAGATTGAGGTTCCGCAGGCGTTGGCTGGTGCCGTTGCTGAAGACAGCTGCTGTGATTCTGGCCATGTGGGCAATGGTGGCGCGCGGTGCAGTTTCGACGGTGAGCGAGGCGAGGGAAGCTGCGATGACGCTGTTTAGGTCTTTGGTTTTGGCGGGAGAGCGGATGGCCGGGGAGGAGAAGTTGATGTTCTCTACAAGCGGTGTTTTCGAGGGCGATGGCGTGGGAGATGGTGTGATTTCTGTGGCTTTTTTCGCGTGTCGGTCGCGCGTGTCGGCTTCGACGAGGTCGATTGCTCGCCGGCAGATGTCAAAGGCTTTGCGCAGGTCGCCGGACTGGGCGGCTACCTTTTTGGAGAGGAACACAATGGCGGTTGGGTGGATGAAGGGCAGCTGTGTTGAGCCGGCTGGGAGAAGGGCTTTGAGTTTGGCAGTGATGACGGAGGAGATTTGGGCGGCATTGTATGGGAGGAAAGGCAGTAGCTGTGGCTTGAGACCGCGGGCCTTGAGTCGCGGGAGAAAGCGATCCGTGAGATCCAGCGCGTTGGCAATGCCGACCAGCACCAGCCCCGATGCCTTTTGTAGTGACCACTCGAAGATGTTGTAGAAGAGCTCGACGTCGAGCTCGAGCAGGTGATCCACTTCGTCGAGGGTAACAACATACGACGTCTGTCGCTGCATGAAGACGGTCCGCAGCGCTTCCATCTCGTCGCCCTCTGCAACTTCGGTGATGTCGACAAAGTCTTCGAGCAGCGTCCTGTACAGGTCTGTAGCGTTCTTCACGCTCATGCAGTTGATGTAGCCGGTTCTGACAGACTCGTCCGCGGAGACGGTGCGGCAGACATCGTTGACAAAGGCGCTCTTGCCGGTGCCGGGCGGGCCCGAGACGTAGATGCAGCCTGAGGTCTTGGCCTTGGTTCGGCTTGTGATGAAGGCCGCGAGCTCCCTCCTCTCGGTGTCGCGGCCGAACAGCGCGGTGGGGGCAGAGCCTCTTGCGAAGACCTGGCGCGCTTCGTGGTAGATGGTGGGCGCGGTGCTGCGCGGAGTGCCTGGGGTGTGGGGAGTGCGAGGCGTCAGCGGCCGGCCGGCGATGATGAGTCGGTGTCTGGGTGTAACGGCCACTTTGCCGGCAAGTGCGTCGCGATGCCTGGGCGTCGAGGGGGTAGGCGCGAACTTGTCTGGCAGGTCGACGAGCGCCTTCTGCGGAGAGTTTTCTTGGGCAGGACTTGCGCGCGCCTTCCTTCCGCGTCTCGCCGCCGCCTCGTCTCCGGGCTCGTCCACATGCTGCTTGTTCGGGGTGACGAAAGGGTTCTCAATCTCGCCCTCATCGTGTATCACGAACTGCGTCCTGCGTTTTGCGCGTGTTGCGAGGTGGAGCTTGGATTCTGCAGAGCGCGTCAGGGACGTCCCGTCGTCGATGCGTGCAGAACTACGCGTTCTCTTTCCAAGGACGGTAGGCGCCATTGTGTTGTGCGGCGGCAAGGTGTGATGCGTGGTTGTGGAAGTTGCGAAGCACAGTGATGGAAGGAGCTACCTAGGTACGCGACAGGCACGCGCGACGCGATATCGCGTTAAGTGCCCCAAGGTTGGCCTAGTGCCACGCCCGCATTCAGCACCACCTAGGCCCATTCGGGCTGAGGCTTCACAATGACTGTGGTGTACTTTGGTTGTTGAGTTGAGATTTTTCTGAATTCCCATGGTTGAGAAACACTGAAGCCAAGGCTTACTCGGACACGTGATGAGGCTTCACGGCAAGCACACACCAGGCGAGACCAGCAAGTCACCGGCAGTCTTCCATCATGTACTGTCGTAGCGATCCAGCGTCGGTCGGACAGCGCTCAGTGTGTCACCCTGATTCTGTCGACTTGTTTGCTAAGAACCCCTGCGCCTCATCGCGCTCTCCAACGACATCACCCCCGTTTAATGTCTGGTGCACATCTAGTGATCCCGTAAAGACGCGCAGAATATGGTCGCCACCGCTCCACTGCCACTGCGTTTGCGTGGTACAATTGGGGTGCTCTTGGCACTCCACGGTCCTACGGGTGGTGCAAGAAGCAGGGCTGGTACTAAGCGTACGACGTGGGCAATCGGGAAACCTGGTAGCATAAGGGCCTCACGCCCAGTGCACATCAATGGCCATCTCTCCCTTTCCCCAGTTCCCGCATCACCCCTCCCGAGCCAACCGCGCGGTGCGGGGCATCGCCAACAGAAGAGCGCGAAATGCCATACCCAACATATCCGTCGTGGTCACATGGCTTGGACTTCTTCCCAGAGGCTTATCCGTACCGCTATAACAGTCGACGATCGTCTCGAAGGTCGCGAGTTCCTCGATGGGCATTTTCAGAGCTCGCAGTAGGGCCATGTTGCGAGTTTTGTGTCTCTCATGACAAGATTGTACGCTACACGCTGGCCACCTGACCCTTCACCGCGCCCGTCTGACCATCTACAGCCAAGTCTAGAGGAAGGTCTGTTTGAGCTGGGGATGATGGCACCTCCCTACTTTGACCACGTCCTGGAAGCTTACCAGGACATCCACTACCACTACAAGCGTGGTTTCGACCAACATGGCCCTGAATCTTACTACATCTCCCGCGAGATTAGGCGGCTATCAGAGCTGCTACGCAAGCTGTACTTTGCAACAGGTATGCGTGAGCTGGCTCCGTGGTCAAACCAGCTGAAGTACATGAGAAGCGACGTACAATTGGGACCCGGGCATCGTCAGCTGAGCACACTACCGAAGCACCGGCATAATTCTTGGTTCCTGCATTAGCGGATGGGGTGATGGATGCAGGCGCTTGGCCTGGCGGTGTTGTGCTCGACGAACTTATGTTGAACGCTGTATTGTTCCGTAGACATGGCCTGTACCCTCCTCAGGCGACCTGTTGCGGTGTACGTAAAAATGTTCGCTGCTGCCTGGTGCTGCTGTTTTGGCGATACAGCCGTCATGACGTCAAAGTGAAAGACCGGCGGAAGGTCGCGGTGACCGTGGAATTGTCCCGCTTCCTTTACTATAGTCCGCACGCGCTTATTATCTTGGTCAAAGGAAGCAACGATTGCTCCATACTTTTCGAATTTCTATTCCAGATCTAATGTCCCCACAATCACAATTGCACGTTGGCTGAACACATTTGCGTACCTGAATATATTCGACTACAAATCGAACCCTCTCTTACCTACGAACATGGCCATCCCGCAAGACCCCGCCACTGCGAATCGGCCATCAAAAACGAAGGGCACACAGCTAGCACTCGAAGAAAATAGCGACATCGCGCGAATCAGAAATTGTCTCCAAGGTGGCGCAGACGCAGCCGAGGTCGCATCAGAAGGATACCGCGTCTGTCGCATCAACGCCTTTCTTCGGTGCGACCTTCAACAAGCTCGCAACGAGATTCGTAAGAACCGCGTCGACAGACAGACACAATCTGTTCAAGAAGATGCTCTCAAGGAACTACGTGATGAGTTGCCCGCAACGCGCCAGATGCTCGAGCGCCTCTGGGGTTTGCTCAAGCAGCGGAAGGTCAAGATACCCGACGACGTCAAGGCCGACTATCAAGCGCTGAAGGCCAAGGACTCGCATGACTGGCAGCCCCAGCAGAGGGTCAGGATAGTGAAAAGCGTAGTGGCAAAGGGCAAGAGAATCGAAAACCCCAAAACGAAGACGGAGAGGAAGGCTGAAAGACAGCGGGTCGATAAATTGCACAAGCGTCTCGAAGAAGGGAAAGCCAAGCAGACCAAGTTTCTGTTACACACCCCAGACGGCGAAATGTACGACGCACGGAAGCCTGTCCTTATTCCAGACGAAGCTGGAGACGAGGACGTTGCCGGCGAGCAGATGACAGCGGAAGAGGCGGCAGCCATCGAACATGCCGACTTCATGAAGAATGGCAGTTCTTACCGACCCCGGGCGCTTACTCCACCGTCTGGGCTTGTCGCGAAGAACGTCGTTGCGGGAGTCAAGCGCAGGTCAAGCGATTCGAATCCCTTTGCGACACTCAAGATGGGCCAAGCTTGATGATGGCGACGGAGCCACTGACAGTTGGGTGAAATAGAAGGCGTGTTCGTGTCGCTCGCCGAGAGCCAGTTGGGATGAGTTTTGTTATCATCGGGGGGTATGGAGGTCTTCAAGATATCCTTGCCATGAAAACGGGCTATGATATTGCCTGGCTATGTACCAGTGGTGTTCTCAGCCAGAGGCAACCGCGTCTATCTTGATAGTAGACTCATGGCTTTCCTCATGACACGACATATCTGAGCCCCGAACTATCTGCATATTCTGACATTGGCCTTTGTCCTCGAGGACGTGGTCTGCGCAACTTTACCAAATGGTAGTATTTTGATGATGAGCTCATCTCATTTGGCTCCTGGCGTGGACAAACAACCCCGACCCCGCAGTGCATTTCTTAATGAAAAATATGCTGGGAATTATGCCGAAGTTACCCACGCATGCGATTGATGGATGATGAATATGTGCGTATCCACACGTGCAGCCGGTCGATTTGTTTGCTTGTTTGCTGAGTAACAGCGTCTCGCCTTGTTGATTTCACGCTCGTCTCCAATCAACACCAGCATCTACAGCCACTGTGCTTGAGTGTCTCCATCATTTCTTTGTTGGAGTCTTCGCAAGCCAAAATCAGCCAGACTGCCTGTTCAGACACGGCAATGTCGTCTTGTCAAGGCATTCGCAAGGCAGCACGCGCCCAGTTCTTTCAAGCGAGGCCACATCGGACGCAGGGCGGGAAGGGGGGAACTGTACTGACAGTCGCCAGAAACGAGTGTCAGGCCCACACGGATGAACGGCACGTCTTATGACGTTTCATTACGCGCCACGGATGAGGATTGCGAGCTAGCCGATTATGAGCTGAATTGAACAAACGGCTGCGGGTTCGAGCATAGCGTAGGTTTCACTTTCCGGTGGGCTGTTAGTTCCGTGCAACAGTGCAGATAGTGCTAGAATGAATTGCAGGAAGATCTGCGGCCCACCTGCAGGCCGCGGAACATGCCATGACGTGCCCAGGTGCCGCGCAAGAATCTCGGCCCCCACGCGAAGCGCTAACGATTTGGGCGTCAGCAATTTGGAGACGCGGAGATGAACTCGACGGTGGGGTGCGCATTTAGGGATGCCAACTCTATCGAGCTAGGAAAGAAGCCACTTGACACTGCTGATCTGGAGCTCAACTACACCAATGGATTCCACGCGCAGCCAAAGCGGTAGTGAGCGCATTCCAGCTTGCCCAGGTGGTAAGGTATTTGCGACCTGGAGTATCAGCCTCGACGAGACATGGTGAGACAATTGTCTTGTCGGGCGTGCAAGGATTAGCGACGGAACATTGTCACTGTCGCCGAACACGATCTGTCGCTTGCAGGTGCTGCAATACCACGCCTGTGCCACATCAGGCCATGTAGACGGAGAAGGACGGCGACTGGTGCCGGACAAACGAGAAGAGCCAGCAGCCGATCGTAGTGGTAATTTCCAAGGCTGCCCACGAGCTGGCGGGTCACCAACTCCCAGTGCGTTGCCCGCTGGCTATCAGTCTTTTCGTGAACTGCGTCTCGAGATGCTCCACAGCGCCCCATCCCGAGTGCATCTCGCTTTCGAACATCTCATTCGGCGGCGCCAAAGTCATCGCGGTCTTGAGTTACCATGCATCATGCTACAACTCGCAACCAGTTCTGAAATGCTGATGATACCTGTCTTCTCGTACCCTCTCCTCCAGCCATATGATATTTGGAGAGTTGACTTTGCGTATATATCCTGATGCCAACAGTATACAGCAAAGGCAGGCTCTCATTGCCTTTCCATTTACGTCTCTTACTTTCAATCAATATTTCAAGGTTTGCCTGCAGACAATGGCACCAACCACCAGATCCGGATCTGGATCTGGATCAAGTCCAATCCCAAACAGCCATGCACGACACAGCTTGGCTTCTCAACCTGTCAACGATTCAGTCCAAAGTCATGGTAGCCGACGCGATGTACCACAGGTGCATTCTCCCGCCGTAGACAACGTGCCAATAGTCCACAACACCCCTGCACTCCATGTACAGCGCATGCTCCATGTCCGTATTCCACGAAAGGCCACCGTCATGCCCAACCGATTGCTGGAGGAGCGAATCATAGCGCCACAAAAGCAAAAGAATCAGAAGCGATACCAGGGCCTGGTGACCAAGCACAAGTACCGACTCGGCTCGCCAAGGTTCAGGATCTCGAGGCGCATTAGAGACCCAGAGTGCTGGGAAGTGCTTACGCGAGATACTGAAGTTGTGGGTCCTAAAGGGTGTTGGGTTGCGAAAGGAACGCCGACTTTGGAACGCCCGTTCGGGAGTGCTGCCAACGCGTACCGCGTATACCACGTCGATCGCAAATGTCTCAACGAGAAGCTGAAAGGCGAGGTAGCATACACCCACCTTGCTATGAATGTCATGGGCTTCAGGTGGGCGCTCAAGTTCACGACGATAGTGGGAGATGTGCCCCAGCAGTTCGAAGTGTCACATCTTTGCGGTCACTCGCATTGTTATCGGCCGTCCCACCTGGTGCTCGACTCACATCAAGTCAACTTGCGACGATCGCGATGCTCTGGCCATGGCTGTACCCATGCACGCGGACGCGGCCAGAAATGCTTCGGCCACGAGGAATGTCCTGAGTTCTGCCCGGAGCGTTTGAAGGAGGTGGAGCGGCAGTTGAAGCGAGATGGCCACCGGCCTGACAAGTGCGACTATGCAGAGATAGTGGAGTAGTGGAGGCAGGCACGCACGCCACTGATATGTCTGAAACACCGCATGTATTGTTACCTTGTTGTTGATCTACTCTGCATTAGAATCAATATCGTTCGCACCCGCACCGAAGGCAATCCCTTACTGAATGTTGAAGCCAATTGCATGTTGCCTCCAGGCAGTAGCCCGAGCACGGATAGCTTCAGGAGAGACTTGCTAGCCGAGAACATCCCGTCCCCTGCCAATGCTGCAGTGCTGGAACCTGTGTGGCTTGGCTATCACAGTCCGACGCACGGTAAGTTCCTGAAGGGTCGATATTAGCATGGCGGTGTGATGCGTTGTGTAAGCAGCCATGATATATAAGGCGTATCCGGCGACGTACGGGCCATGAAAGCCAGTTCTCTCTTGATTCATATTTTCTTGTATCATCACTACATCACTACATCACTACATCACTCCAACTTCAATCTCATTGCCAAACAAGCCAACCATGCCCGGCATCGTGACTTCCCCCGAGCTCCCTCGCAAGCGTACAGGCCCCAAAGGGAACATCAAGGACCGGCATTTGCCCGCTGGCTCCAAAGATCCCAACCTTTACACCCCAACCACCCCTCCCCTGCTCAAATTAGGGATCTCACCTGATGATGTGCTTGAGAATGTCAAGGACCTCGCATACTCGGTATCACGGCGGGTGGAGCAGAAGCACCCATATCTGCAAAGACTGTTAACGTTGTCTGAGCTTAACGACATTACCTTTCATGGGCAATCCGAGAGGATTGACCGCCTCAAGGAAGAGTTCATCCTCCGACAACGACCGAGGATCGATCTTGAGACGTATAAACACCACCTCCCGGAGCTGCCAGAAGAAGACTCCGCACAGATCGCGGCTATGAAGCAGTTTGCTATGGACAGCGAGACGGGCGAATGGATCCTGGAGGTAATTTGGGACTTGTTCTTCGAACTCGTCCGCGAGATAGATGGCGGATGTTGGGTTCAGGGTGGAACGGCTTGCGACGGGTTTCCGTTCGGATTACAGGCAAATACTGTCCTCAGGCACAAGGTTCCGAAGGTTGAGGTAAGTACTACACACCCGTTGCATCTATGCTTGAAAACATACTAAGTTTGCGTTTCTACTAGTACACTCATCCCGAAAAGGGTGAAATGATCGAAGCCGTACTCGTATCCTGCCCTGCGCTTGCGATGATTTTAGCCGGGTATGGGGATTACTTGCCATATTGTACCACGAAACACGCTCGCGCCGGCTACCTGAGATGGGATGTATCCCATTTATGTGGTCACAGCCACTGCGTCCGCCCCTCACACTTGGTCATCGAGCTTCATTGCGACAATCTGGCTAGGCAGGATTGTGAGGGCAAAGAGCGATGTGAATGTGGCGACACCCCAGGCACACCTGGTTTTGGTCATCCTTGCCTGGGCCACCGGAGCTGTCCGGATACCTGCCCAGAGCGGTTGCGAAACTTGATCGACGCGAGGGACAAGCTCCTCGAGTGGGTGGAATTCCTTAACAATGGTGGGGATCCTAAGCACCCCCCCGATGACCTTCGCTGTCGGGAAACCAAGACGGTGCCTCACGTGATCCGACTTCAGAAAGCGTTAAAGAAAGCCGCCGATAGGGCAAGAGCAGCGGTAAAAAAGGCGGCCAACGCTATGAAAGCGCACAAGAGGAAGGCGGACGAGGAACCCGTGGAGCGTATCCAGAAGAAGGCTAAAGCTGTGACGGAACGTCGGGTGCCACCTCGGAGCAAGGCCGCTAAGGAACCCGCGTCGAAGGCTAATACAGCCACAACTACGGCGCAACGTCGGGTTTCCAACAAGAAAAGGTAAGTTGCGACACCAGTGATGGAAAGGATTTGTGGGCAGAATAGTTCCCTTTCTCTTTGTATTATTACACAATCCATGCAAGCTATCCAAAATCTCCTCACGATCCTCCAACGTCCAAGTCCGCCGTGAAGTCTTTCCGAATCGTCAAATTTTCAAAGGTTTCCTGATTTTCGATGACCAGGCCTTGTTCGTTGGCCAGATGCAACAAACAAATAAAGCAGTAGCTTGTGGAGATATCAGCCAGGGTTTGTTTTGGGTAAACGGCCTGTAGGCTGTTGACAACGTCGGTAAAGGTCAACGAACCATCCACGGCCTTGTTTGCTGGATCGTCGGCAACATTGGGCTGAGGAGGCGCAGAAATCTGATGGTTGTGAGCTTGCGAGTCAGATGAAGACGGCTAGATACAACTTACGCCATCGAACCCGATACCCCTCCAGAGTTCGTCCTTTAGTCTTTTCACGTCCACCTTCTTTGCGACCCTTGCGTACTGGACGTATTCAGGCCGAAATCGTCGGCTTTGCGTCACAAGCTGAGCACCGAATGCGTCGGTCTGCGAACCCGGTTGCATGCCGTCGAGTGGTAGTGTAGCTTCAGGTGCGTCAGGCGGCGGCGAGAAGTGATCGCGCGCATCTGCAAACACATCGTCATCGTCGAGAGGGCCACTAGGTATCTGGAGACCATCATCCTGGAAAAAGTCGGCGTCGTAGCTTCCCTGTGCATCGTCACCGTCGCCTTCTTGAACCTGGTGAGCCCAGTATGCTTCGTCCACGCGTGCTGAATCTCCAGGGAGTGCATGTGCACGGCGTCCTCCCTTCCGTGAGCCCATACGCGCCTTGGGTTTAAGGAAAAGACGCAGCAGCTGTTTGGAGTTGCAGTGCTTGTCGTCTGGGAGAAGGTTGCGCGACCTGGACTTCCATTGTGCTTTGGGTAGAGATATCGCGGAGTTGGATGTCGCAGGCGTGTAGAGCACATCTGCTAGTGTCTGTGTCATTGGAGCTGTGAAGTCGATCTCGAATGGCTCCCTTTCCTTCCGTTTCGTCGCCGGTGCTGTCTTTGCGGAATGCTTGACGCGTGAGATGCGCCAATGCTCAGGCCCTGCCCAGCTCTTCTTAAGAGCTTGGTCAAAATAGCTAAGGATGTTCTCTTGTTCTTGGTCGCGGCCGTGCATCATGGACACGCCATACTGAGCGTCGGCACTGTCTGTGTTCTCGTCGCCATTCAGGTCCATGGTGTGGATGCGAGCTTGTGGATGCTGGATAGCCTCACGAGCCCAGATCTCCCCGCCTTCACCAAAGCCCGTCTCTGGAGGCAGATCAAACCCGCCCATATTCAGGTCATGATCGTCGTCAAATTCCATGGGGTTATCGTCGCCGAGAAAAAGACCTGATTGGCTGCCTGCGTTGTCGTCTCCGTGCTTGGCTCCGTCTTGACCGGAGGAGTTGTCAGCAGCCTTGAGGAAGGGAAGGTCCATAGAGCCATTCACATCGCCGAGATCGAACGTCTTCATCGACGGACACACGTCTTGCCGGTCGAGCTGGGAAAGATCGTGGAAGTACTTGGCAGTCAGGCCGGATATGTCAACATCGATGGCGTCGGGGGCCAGTTGATGGTCATGAGTGGGGAGTGAATCTTGGGTGGCGGCATCGTTGGCGTCATCGCTGCTGTCGAAGACAATCCTGCCGCTCCCGTCTATAGCCAGGTGGTTAAGAAGGAGTCCTTTGGCCCCGCCCTCGTCAAAGTCAGCCGAGGCTTTTTTGAAGAGCGGATCAACCGAGAACTCGAGCTCCATCTTCTTGTTCTGCAGTTGGGCAAAGGACGACGCGAGCGTGGCTTCTGCAGAGCGAGCAGCCCTCTTCTTGCGCTTCTTCTGGCCATGCTCTCCGGCTTCAGCCTCCTCGCCGTCGCCCTCGTCCTCGTCGCTCCCATCGGCATCGTCGCCGTGTCCTCTCCGCTTCTTGCCCACATTCTCGGCGAGTCCGCTGAGCAGCTTGCCCGTGTCGGTCGCAACGCTGTCGACTCTGCTGGTGTAGATCTTGACGCAGCCGTCTAGCGTGCAGCTAGCCTTCTGGAAGTTGACGCCGTCGCCCTCTTTGAGCAGGGACATTTCGTGGAAGTAGTCGATGAGGGCGAAGTTCCACGAGTTGTTCGCGTTGATTTTCTGAGCGGGGCGTTAGCTTGGAGCAGCGACGACGGGCGTGCGCATGCCTACGTTGTCCGTCGCCATCTTCATCCATTCCTCGAAGTTGGCCAGCAGGGGCATAATGTGGGTGCCCGGTGTAACAGCCGTGCCAGTAACATCGGGCATGTCGTCGCCATCTTGCGACGGGGTGCGTGGCGTGTCGTGGGCGGCGGCAAGCGACACGCGGCGGCGTCCGGGAGTCGCAGTCGTAGTCGAGGCGCGCATCGAGTCGCGCTGGGCCTGTTGGTGCGCATGGCGGCGGGCAGCCTTTTCCTGGCGGTCGTCGTTGAGCGGCACTCTGCGAGCGATGGGTTAGCCTAGCAATGCGCCCGCGCGGAGCGTTGGGGCCTACCTGACAGGCGTCTTCTGGGGCGAGGCGGCCGTGGTATACTTGGTGGAGCGCGCCATGTTGGGCGATGGGTGTGGTGCTGCAACAGCCGTTCTGGCGTCGATGCCATGTTGCTGTTGTTTGTTTGGGCGCCACAATTGCCCCGCCGCTATCACCAGACAGGCAGCGGCAGCACCGCCACACGCTAGCGCAGTGGCGGCATTTCCCCGGACTAGCTAGCCCAAACGCTTCACGCACCGCCCTCCGCTGGCTCGTCGCCCGCTGTGCCTTCACGCCTCGCACCGTCTAAAACCCGTCTTCTCCTCGACTCGTCAACCAACATGCCTCGGCCATGGACGACCTGACCATCCTCGCCCACGCCCAGCGGTTGCGCCGCCCCCGCTTCTCGGCGCGCCCCTTCGCCCTCACCATACTCGCTGTCTCCCTCATCTCGCTGCTGGCATGGGCCCGGTCGCAAGCCCCAGCCGGGCGTGCTCTGCACACGAGGGGGGCCGTCTCGACCAGGGACGCCGAGTGCCGCCTCGTCCACCATGCGCTGGACCAATGCGACTTTGTGCGCGCAAACTGCCCCGATGAGGAGGCTGGCGTCATGTCCTACCTCGCCCTCTACTACTGCCGCCTCCCGCACGCGAAGCCCGTCGCTTTTGTCCTGCTGACGCTCTGGCTCGCCCTCCTCTTCAGCACCATTGGCATTGCCGCAAGCGACTTCTTCTGCATCAACCTCAACACCATAGCGCGCATGCTGGGCATGAGCGAGAGCCTGGCCGGCGTGACCCTGCTCGCCTTTGGCAACGGCAGCCCCGATGTCTTCTCCACCTTTGCCGCCTTCCGCACCCACGCTGCCAGTCTGGCTGTCGGCGAGCTTATCGGTGCTGCCTGCTTCATCACCGCTGTCGTCTCGGGCTCCATGGCCCTGATCCGCCCCTTCCAGGTTGCGCGCAAAAGCTTTGTCCGTGACGTCGGCTTCTTTCTTGTTGCTGCTGCCTTTAGCATGGGCTTCATTGTCGACGGCAAACTCCACCTGTGGGAGTCCGTTAGCATGGTGGCCTTCTACATCTTCTACGTCGCCTTTGTTGTGGCCTGGCACTGGTGGCTCAACCTACGGAAAGCCCGACGCGCGCGAGCAGCCGCTGTTAGGAGCCACTACGTAACACCCGGCGGTGAAGAGGAGGAGTTTCCAGAGTACCACGACGACGAAATCAGCGCTGCTTCTGCGACCCCTGCGTACGGCGCCTCCGCTGACGACTTTTCCATGCTCGAACGCGCAGGAGGCGACAATACGATACATGACGATGACAACGAGGAGGAACGTGAGCGCTGGATGGGCGAGTTGACCAACAATATGCGCGTCAACCGCCCAAGCGTGTCGCGGCGCAACACCCATACCCCGATCCGACCCAGTTTAGTAGGAGCTTTGGAGTTCCGAGCCGTGCTTTCCTCACTGCAAAAGTCGCGCAACATCCAGTCTATGCCAATCAGCCTGCGACGGTATTCCGACGACCCTACCTACACTACTGCCCAGCAGCAATCCTACATCGGACAGACTACAGGTCCAGCGACTCGGCCTCCATTCGACCTGCCTTCTTCTGCCTCCAACATCTCCACCTCACCCCACCTGAGCCGACCGAATCTCGAGATCCAGCAGAGTCTAGGCAACCGAGCGCGAGCTGTCTCCACCAATGACATTGACAATGTCCAACTACAGCCAAGCACCCTGCAAGGACAATGCGTGCCTGACATAACATTTGCGTCTGCCACTCCCAGCGAGCGCAACGGATTGTTGGAAGCGCCGCCCTCACCAACTATCTCGTTATCTTCGCCAGTCTCCCGCTCTTCTAGAGCCCCGAGTCCTACGGCACCGAGAGATAGGCTGCTTTCACCCAACAATTTGGCGCCTCCAGGTGCCGAGGATGGAGCGCCCCTTCGTGTAGTCCTGCCTTCGCCGAATCTACGATCAAGCCCGGCATCAAACTCCGGCCATAGCCGCGAACAGCCTAGTCTGAAGCTGGCCGTACCAGATGCGACTTCCCCACCCATACCATTCCCGCCTTACACCGATTACCCTTGGTCAGCACAGTCCACTTCCAGACCTCAGAGTCTACGTCCGCCTTCGCCAAGTGTGTCACTCGAATCTACCTACTTCCCACGAGATTCCTTTGGGCAGCTCGAACCAACAAAAGTTCCCACGTGGTGGCCCTCGGCACTCTTACCGACCCCGCATAGTCTGGTTGCTACCCTCTTTCCCACTTTGACCAACTGGCGTGACAAGAACGTTTTCGATAAGCTTTTGGGGCTAGTCGCAAGTCTGCCTGTATTCCTGCTTACTATAACGCTTCCGGTGGTCGAGCCGCAAAAAGACGAGAACGACGGAGGCCATGCCCAGCTTTCCCTGGATCTCGGTATGCCACACGCAGCTACACCCGGTGATGCAAGCATGAGATCGCAAACTCCCAGTGTATCCCTTGTCTTGCCACG